TGAATTTAAAGTATAGAAAAAATGAAACAACTGATTTTAAAAATGATGAATCCTGCAATATTTTTGTTGAACTAAATTTAATCTAAATTTTTGATTCATCCAGCAGCTGAACATATTTGTGGCGTTTCTGTTGTTCAGAAAGTTCGTCCCAACACTTTAGGTCTAGAGACTGTGCTGGTCTTCCTTCATGTGACGCCAACATAACTTTGAAGGCTTCATTTACTTCCATCAGTGAAGGAAAGCTGTATATTAAGCAATTTCCTAACCCTTAAGGAATTCCTGTTTGCTATAAATTTTTCATGATTTTTCAGTTTCCCTTTTTTTTCTGTGGGCAATTTACCACTTCCCTTTGTACCATTTAATGTTAGTCACTGGAATTACATTGATTAAATCTCCAAACAAATTGAAAAATTGGGGTGTTCTAAAACCTTTGACTGACGCTGCATATACAATAGTTTGGGTATAATATGTACAGTATATGCAAGTGTTAGGGTACTGATTCCTTCCCAGCTTGTTTACCATGTTAATAGAAGTTGTTGTGAATGTTTTTTCCAATATAGTTTTTTAAAACAGCTGATGAGGAGTTGGAATAAGTTACAAAGAGTGAAAGGTCCAGTGCTATAAGGGTTGTTTTTCAGAAACTGTAAAGATGTGATAGGGAGGACTGGGTGTCTTTCCAAATATTAAAATTCCAGCATTTTCTCTGCAAGAAGAGATGCCGGGGGGGAATTCTTGTACATAGAGTCTCTGTGTTCAGTAAAGGACAAGGTTCTGTCTATTTCAATGCCGACATATCTAAAGCCCTTCACCTGCTCCACCATCTGCCCTTTGAGAGGTAGCGATCAGAGAGTTAACAATATCATTTAGATCCACAAATTATGCTGTTAGGCTTTTGACTGACGTCCAAAAAATAGTAGTACACCTCTCACTGACCTCACTTCATTGGCTCTCAAGCTATGGAACTGCTTTCAACTGATTTATGGTTGAGGGCTCTGAATGGGTTGGCATCTTCTTATATCCCTGAACTCTTCTGCCCCTGTTTTGCCCCCTCGGTCACTGAGGTCCTCTGAGCAGATGCTTTTGGTTGTTGCATGTGTTCAGTAGCAAAGCAAAAAAAAGAAAAAGAAAGACTGGGGCCTTGCTGTGGCTGCCCCAGAAGTGTGAAATAATTGACCACTGCGCAGTGGCTTTTGCCCTCTACTTACATTTGAAAAACCATATTTTCTTCCTGGACTTTGAAGATGATTGATTACTTTAACATGGGGTTTTACAGGGAAGCCTCATCAGTTCAAAATGGGGAAAGTGGGAGTCTGTCTGGTTCACCACTTTCTATTGACTTCATCATAGCCATGCATTTAAGTGTCGACAAAGCCATTAAGCAGATCATGTGCTGAAAATATTAATGTTTTTTCTCTATGTTGTGAATATCTTGGGTGTTTTTTCTGGGTAATTAATCCAAAAGGATCCAGAGGGAAAGTTAACAGTGCAAGCAGTCTGAGAGAATCTTTAGCCTGAGGGTGTCCAAAAGGAGTGACTGCTCACTCACATGGACACTCAAAGACACACACATGCCCACAGACATTTATGTTTAATTACTTATCTATTTCGCTTTAATCTTGAAACACATGCAAAGATAACATTCTGCCATAATCACCATGAAATATGCGGTTTCCATACAAGAGAACTTCCCATCTCCCTCCCCTCTCTGACAGGGTAGGCCTGTTATTTACATTAACATTCTTGGCAAACAAAGTCCTGATGGCATCATCCGACGTACCGCAGGAGAGCTAAAAGACTAGGCTTTTAAAAATCTTAATTATAAGTGAATACGTCTGATAAATACAAAAATAGAATTATTTTGTTACAGTATTACATAATTCAGTGAACACATTACTGTGCAAATACTGCAGGTTTCTGTGCTCTCTTATTGTGTCTCACTTCTGGATGAGTTGAGTGCACACAGACACTTTGGTTTTGGTTGTCCTTGGTGTGAACCTGTTCATTTAAGCCCACAGTAAAGTTATCAGGGCGTGATGCCAATGTAAGAATAGCTTACTCATGGGGGAGGGAAAAGCTGTTTATAACACAGGCTTTACTTATGTACACATTAGCTGCTGATCGTAACGGTCCTGTATACAGATAACATGTTCCCAGAAAGGACTACTCTGTCATGTTTCCGCTCAATTCGGCTCAACTTCATTATTCTTCTCACACTTTAATTTCCAGTTTTGCAGGTGTTTAGTTTTAAACCAAAGCATTGGACAAATTAAAAGTTTGACCTGATGAGGAAGCCAAAGGATCACCAAAATTAATCCAGAGGGTAATATGAACGTACATACAGTCCAATAGTTGTTATGACAATCAAAAGAAGAAAAAAAAAGAAAAAAAAAAGAGAAAAAGAGAGGATTAACCATTAGGATACAATGTTTATCTGTAGTACAAAATGTGCCAATCCATCAGGTAGATGTTGATATATTTCACAAGAAAAGCGAAATATTTGATCTGTTTGTTTAGCTAGAGGAAAGGTCAGGGAATCCTCAAGGTCACTATATTTCATCCAATGGACACCATGAATATATGCGTCTAATGTACAAACTTTCATGGCAATCTGTTGAATATTTGTTGAGTTATCTCAGACTGGACCAAAGCTGTGAACCAGCTGACCGACTGAGATTGACATCCAGAGCAATGCTGCTGGTGTGGCTAACGAACAATGCTTTCTTTTGTCACATGTGGTACTACCGTGCATGGTAAAAGACATCCCACATGCTAACTGTCATTGCAAACTTGGAACAGATCATAGTGTCATGACAATACTGGCTATAAAAACCTATATGACATTGTATTTAGGAACAATCTGTAAGGTTAAGCTTTGCAGAATTAATGCTGAGCATTTGGATATACTGTGACAAGATCTGAAATATGTATGAACATGCACAGATCTGATGGTGATTAAAGAAATATTAATAAGAAAAAAGTGTGAGTTGATACTTGTGATTCCTTATTCTTTTTTGTTCTGTTGAAGGCATTTGCTCCCTTTCACACATTATCATGAGCACTTCTTCTGGTGTTTAGACTGTGGGAGAACATCTGTCGTGTGACAGTCAAAATATCTTAAATCTGTCTTTATCAGCCTTCGAAAGGACTTGGTGGTCTCATCCCTATTTTAGTGACAGCTCCTCTCACTATCAGCCGAGAACAGTCTAGGGAAACACATTTCCCAAGGAAGGTGACGATTAAGATGTTTGTCTCAGCTCTTTCTTATACAAACTGCTTGAGTGTGATTTCCATTACGTTGTCCAACAATCTGCTAGCCAAGCTGATATCATTCTGTGAAACCATCAACCAGGTTCAAACAGAGTTTTTAAGTGAATGTCAGTATTGAGTGTGTTGGCAAAAAAACCATCAGTGTGTAAATTTAACTCTCACCTCAATACAGTCACGTGTTGTGCCTGTTACATACATGACCTCTGTACAACTTTGGGACCATGATAGTCCACTGTACAGGATGCATCATGTCCTTGGCCATGGCGTGTATGTTTATGGGACTTCCCAGTGTTTTTTCACGCAATGTGAGGATACAGAATAGGAAACAGTGAAGGGGGCTTCAGAACACCACACCCACAACAAACAAAGGCCACGGTTGTTTAACAGGTTGATACTGTCACTAGTGACTATTGTGTGACCCTTTGATGGAGATTCAATTGTTTTTATAAAAAAAAAATTGGGTAAAAATATAAATGATGTTTATTGATATGTTTGGCTCATACTTATATTGGCAATTCAATTCTATTTAGGTGAATACTTGGTTATTTACTATAACATATTCAGTGACTGAATTATGTTTTCTCAAGACGACCTTTGTCTCAACTTGGCAGAGATGAACATCGGAACGCCCTTGGTACCATCTGTATTTCCAGTTAAATATGTTCCATGGCCTGTGCTTTCTTTGCTGTACGTGACACTTCTTGTCTTCTGCTCAAAACAATAACTTATCAAAGCTGTTATCAACTGATGTAATAGTATTACGAATCTAGTATTACTAAAAATAGCAATCGCAGTAACAACAATATTAACATGGTATTCTGTCAACAGTACAGCTATTCAGCTTGACTTTCTGTACATAAAAACAAACAACAGTTAACACTAATTTACAATAACTGTAGGATATCACATTTTTCAGTAATTTTTTGTCTATATATTGTTCTGTGGCTTAATAATAATATTACTTTACCATTCTGATATTATTTATAACTGAATATAATATACATGTTAATACAATGCACCTTTCATGTCTTAATGAGCACATTTGACATTATACAGTTTCTGCTATCCTACCAGCAAGCCCCAGACCACTGGAATGCAAAGGAAGTTTTGTATACTTTAAGTAGGTTGGAAGAAAGAGATGAAAGTTGTTTTGTATGCTGATGCATCTTTAGTTTAATTAAAAAAAAAAAAAAAAAATTGTGGATGAGATGTTTTTAGAAATGGGATTCTGCACAGACAGTTCCATACAAATGGTCTTTTACTTAATCTTCAGATATGAAAGGAAATCAACACAGAATTAGTAAAATTCTACAGACCATGATGGAAATTTGGACAACTACACTTCAGGATGTGGTTTTCCACACTGGTATGGGGACAGATTTATGTGGGTCGCTATATAACAATAGACTTTTTTGAGCACATCCTGAGCCCCAGCTAAGGCCTCAAAAGGTGGATTTTCCTTAAGACAGCCAAAACACATGAGCACAATATATAAGCACATTTGTCACCAGCCTGATGCCCAGTATTCAATATCTCAGTGACTCCCTCCATGTAAAATGTTTTAAAATTAAAAGGGTCATGTGATTTAGTGATATTACTGTCATAGCTATTTTTGTCTTTTAAATGAATGTCTGTTTGTCTCTATATTGAAATCATTAAATTATACTTCACATTATTATAGGAAAATATTATGGAAGAAATTCTTAGAATACAGAAAGAGATCATACTACAGCCATGGATGCGGATGCCTTGCAGGGACAGTGGAAAATGCCTTCAGGTTAGTGAAATAAAAGATGTAAAAGTAGACCTACAGTAAATATCAACAGCCTTTTACCCTCGATAAATATTAGTTATTATTTCCAGGACTGTCACTTGTATGTGTCAATATTAGTTTCTAAAATGCTAATATATGGCAGATGACCTGAAGCAGGATAGTTTTCATTGTTTCAATAGAATGCACCTGACCGAGCGGTGCGTGAACTCTACTTCCTGTAACAGTCATCAGTGGCTGCAGGTGAGTTTACTTCTTGTGGGTTTTAACTGAAGTTTATGACAAACATAAAAACTAACGAAGGGTTTATGTTGGCTTTTGTTGCAGGACATGACAGCGGATGCCAGAGATGCCTGTGCAGTTTCATTGCTGATAATTGGACTGACATAAACCATTGTAGCCAATGTTAAGTTGACCTTTGTTTCAGACACGGAAAAAGTTCATCCTCCTACTAAGTACTTCTCTGGGGTACTTGGACTGTAAATTTTAAATATATGCTTATTAATACTTCTATGCCACTACATTTCTGAGTGGGACATTATACTTTATACACTGCAGAGAAGGTTATATAGTTATCCAGTATTTCACAAAAAGAGAATTTGTATAAGTAATCATCTCATGATTCCTCAGATTGATTTTGTGACCCTTTGGAAGGACCCAACCCCTAGATTGAAAGCCAAAAAGCACACGTCAGACTAATGGCGACACTACAGGAAAGGTCTGAAGGTCACCAAAAACATCCGAACTATCCACAGCAAACTAAATGGAAGTCTGTATTTTGTGGGGTGCCTTGCTGTGGACTGAACTGAACTTTGTCACAGGGAATATATTGTACCTCACAGCAGCAAGACAGTAAAGGTTAGGGTTTGGAGGGGTCACCAAAGTTACTGTAATTCATCCTTTGGGAGCCATGCCAACTTTCCTCTCACCCTGATATGTTGTTGTTGAGGTATCTCACTTTTGACCAAAGTTGAGGAGAGACAGACAGAAAGACCAACCAGCTGACATCCTGGCATTGTCTTTTTTTTTTTTTTTTTTTTTTTTTTTTTTACAGCTGTTACATTACAGCAGCAGGGCAAAAAAAAAAAAAAAAAAAATCTGTTCTGCCTCAACACATTCATTTCTGGTAATAACTAAAATGTGTCTACTGCTGTTTTTTGTAACGTACAAGTAGAATGACAATGAAAGCATGTATGCTTTTTTTAAGCAGACTAGTTTGTGTAAAACCTTTTAGAGGCTTGCAATCATTAAACACAAAACCTTTAAAACAATGATATTTTATGTTTAGAAGGCTGAAACTGCAAACGGGATTTCTCCTGGGACCCTTATCTATGTAGTTCCCTCTTCACAGGCATTTTATGAGGAAGAGGGAAGAGTGAGATAAACCATATTCTACACTTTATGATGAAGTCTTCATAAAAGAGACAGAAACCAGGCTAATTGAACAACACCTTAATCTAAATTACATAAAAATCAAATAATTAAAGGTATTTCTGGACACTCAGTCAGGGTACTAGTCAGCATATATTCAAAGAATTTATGTATGTAATTCCTGATTTACGGTAGAAAAACAAGAACAATAGACCAACATTGGATTTAATGTGTGCTGGATTTCCTTTCTTTCTTCCCCTGTCCAAAGTTGATGTTGACAGGCGCCATAATGGAGAAATAATTTCCTTAGTGTGTTTACACAATGATTATGTGATGATTAGTGTCAGCATTTGTGGTAAGCAGCTGAAAACACAAGGGAGTTCGGTGGAAAGAAATTGTTTTAATAACAAAAAGTAAATACTTACAAAAACTCAAAATCCAAACAGGCAAAAACTGGCGAACCAACTGACAAGGAAACCGAAGCACGAGGGTTATACAAGGAACCTAAACAGCAGGCCAAAACACAAGGAACCACAGGGGATGACAACAGGCAACATGAACTGACGAACCAACACAGAGGAGCACAGAGACTATATAGACACAAGGGAGGCAAGGGTGATGGAACACAGGTGAAACACATTAGGGCGGGGCAGACAATCACCAAACAGAGAAACAGGACCAAAACAGGACCAAAACAGGAAGTAAAAACATTGAGACACACGAGGAAACCAACTCCAAAATAAAACAGGAAGTGACAAAATCCAAACATAAACTCACATAAAAAGTGTCTGCCATGGCAAACCATGACAATTAGATTTTTACCTGAAGCAGCTGTTGTCATCTCCTCAGACTTACAGATACTCACTGTTAAACTAAGATGTTTAACAATATACGTATGATTTAGTGTCACACTTACACTTTTTAATCTGATGAAGTCCATTCTCTCTTCAGACTGACAATGAAGTAGCAGGAAATGTAAGCGCATTTAAGTGCTTGTATATTCAAGCCCTGTATTTCAATGCTTGACACCGATGGACTGACAGACACACAGACAAAATAAAAAACCCTGTAAAATTTTATTTATAGACTGTGATACTTATCAAGTGCTCGAGCATGTGTGTGGGGTAGGAAATAGCTCTTACCATGCTGAACTCGGGAATGCAGCAGCTAGATGACACTCTTGGAAACCATGGATTGGGTCAGTTGCCCACTTCGCCTTTTTAAACACTGCAGAAATGATAATTGCACAACACGTCAGATCAAGATGGAGTGAATGTGACTTTGTGATATTTGTTTTTCCATGTAAAAAATCTTTACACCATGCAACAAAAAAAAACAAAGAAATTGCAGAAAATACAAAATATATGTAAACCAAATGTTATGCTAGATGGTTCAGACTAGCTAACAATAATAATTCAAATCAAATTTGCTGCTCCACCATATAAGTAGTTCAGCTTGTTACACCACATAAGACAAAAACTAAACTAAATAATAGAAAAAACTTCCTTTAAATCTTATATTTAAACATATCAGAATAAAGATTAGTTCTTCAGTGCAAAGGGATAGGGTTAGGGTTCATGGTTTGACAATAGCCTTCTCGATCTCACTATATCTAGTGGTCCTGCTCTGTGCTTTTGTAAGACTGAGCTGTACAAACTTTTAATAATGCTCTTCCTTGTTGTCGTAAATCATTTACTGTTTATTTACAAATGTGCAGCTTATTGTAAAGTAAAAACAACATAAAAAGAGCAGCAGATACCTTCCAGGACCAAACTGTTAAGTGGACCAAAAAGAGAGTATACAAATAACAAAATGATCCTATATGGGCTAAAAATATGTGGACATCTAAAAATTACACTTGCTGAACATGTCATTCAAAAACAAGGGGCATTAAACAGCTTCTACTCCTCTGGTAAGGCTTTCCACAAGCTGCAGTTCATCCAGAAGGTGTCTGATTCAAGCTGCTGCCACAAAGGTGGAAGTAGTCGTCTAAATAACGAATTAATGAATGACATAAATTTAACTGCGGCAGGATTCACCTTTATGACAACTGACCTACTTTCTGTTATACAAATTAGATTCCAGGTGACTGGAGTTATTGCCACTACCTTCCTAGTTTATTACCTATCTGTGGTTTCAGGTTTATTTTCATATACTACACGTCACATGATTCTAACCTGGTGTGCGAGCGCTGACCGTCCCTATACGTGAAAGATCTTTGTAAAAAAAAACATGAGTCAACCAAGCCACACTGCAACGCACAGCAGTATCAGGCTGTATTTTTTCATGTCTACGGATGAAAAAAATAAATGAAACACAATTCGATGAGGTGGAACACTTTGATGACAATAGTGTCAAGGTAAGCACTGTTCCAACTCAATTTTTCCTTATTCTCAAGGTAAGTGACCAAATGTACTCTAGCAAAGACATCCTCACATCCCTCTTTTACCAGAGGGAACATTTCAGCAAAGTTCAATCCAAGCATAAAAAATCTACTCAGTGTCGCATCACAGACAACGTTTCACAGTGAGCTTTGAAGTTCGCCTGCAAACCTAGAGATAGTTTTCCCCAGGAACACACACAAAGGGACACACACAGTGCTCACTACGGCACAGCGCACCACGCTGATATGACGCGTTCTGCTGGAGAGAAACAATCATCCGTTTGCAGTTCTACTCTGCCACCTCAACCCCCGAAAGCTATAAGGAGTTTAAAGGCTCGATGTACAATGCTGTTTGTTTTATGAGCACGGCCAACAGAGGGCAGCAGAGCTCTGCAGCATCCTTTCTCGTCCTATTATCCTGTCAGCAGAACCATAATCCAGTCTCTGGCTTGCAGCATGGTTGACCAGGAGATATTTTTGGCCTCTGACTGTGATTTTGTTGCAGGTTTTTGCAGGCCTCTAAACCAGTGTCACTATCGAAAGGACCTTTAGTCTGTGCTGTACGTCTGCTGCTGTGACCAAACATGCTACAGAAAAAGCCTTGTGTCAGAGCTGTTGTTGAGCTGTTAACAAGGGGCACGGAATTGAACCCTGCTGGAAAAACAAACCACTGCAGGTAACCAGCCTTAGTTCTTCACATGATCCCTCTCTCTGTTTGTGTGGTGTATATGGAATTGGATGAACATTTGTGGGGAAATTGCATTCGGCCAATCAGACGGTCTACTATGCACTTTTTCACATCCATAAAGAGCTGCTTTTACCAAGAAGGTAAGAGTGCTGACAAGGTCCTGTGACTGAGTGCATCCAAAAGTAACAAATGGAAACAATTTTATCTTGATTTGGAGGGAAGCGTTCAGGGTGTGGCTGCAGGTGAGAAGGGTCAGAGCGTCAGAGATGCTGGAACACAATGTTGGACCCAACTCAACAAGACACCCATGACCTCTGAGACTAATCTTCACTATTTTCGGCTGCAATTCAAGTTTTCCAACTGATAAAAAACATAATGCAACACACGTAACAGAACAAATACAGGCACATACAGTCACCAACCCCAGTGAAATAAGTCAAACTATAACTGAAGCAGGAACAAAGTATAAACAAAAAACCAAATACATACGACATAAATAGGGATGAAGTTTTGTTTCTTTCTATAAATACAAGAAAAATTGGACCAAACTTCATAAAATCTCCCTTGATAATTATTAGTTCTTAGAATCAAAAGTCACTTTTCATCATAAATTTTAACAATTCAGCAAAATCAGGCTTTGTCTAATTCCCCCAATGGCGCAGAATAAGCCTTGAATTACCAATAAAGCCCAACTGTGAAAGTCTAAATGTTTGTTTGGATATACCCAGTGGAAGGATAGACCGTAATGAAAATGGTTTATTCACCCACTCTCCAATACTTAACAATCCCACACTAAATGAAGAAAAACGACCTGCTTTCTTTCGACCCCTCTAACAGTAACTCTCATCAATGAGTCCGATTTCTTTATATAACTTGTTGTATATTTGCCCACTGCAGCTCTAACC